GCCCTTTAAGGTTTCATACACCCTGCTGGCGATTTAGCTGCTCTGTTTGTCGAGCATGTTTGAAAACGATGGCTGCGGGGAGGGATGCACACTTGCAAGGATACAAGGGAGGATGGGTGGGGGTGGGGGGGGCACTCACTCTCTTTGGTGGGCAGAGGGTTTTTCTCTTTCGTCTCCGTCTTCTTCAGCTTTGTCTTGTCGAAGCGGGCGATCTCAGTCATGTCCGGCTTGTCCGACATTTCGGCTGCGGAGGACGAGACAGAAAACCTCAGGGCACACGTTTGACCGGTCCTGTCGAGCATCCACTCCTCGAYGCGAGCATTGTTGTTATTTGAAGCCATGAGAGCAACATTTGTCTGCCATGTAACGTGTCTGCAGCTGAGTCAAAGGGAGTGTGCCTCTCCCACACGAGCTCTGTCTGAATCCTTGCAGCTAACTAAAACTGCCTTCTTTCTCTCCCCTTTTTTCCTTTTTTCTTTGCTTTTCCCCCTCCTCGAAGCTCAAGTCTTTGTTCTCCTTTTTTTTTTTTTTACAATCACCCTCTGGCTGTCTCACTGCCTCTGCATCCACCCCTGTAGTCTCGTGGATGCAGGTGGTCCTCTGCAGCAGAAAGAGTGGGCCTTTAATCATCTTTAGCCTAGTCATGCCTGCCTGATCTGCTCCTCTGTCACAAATGCAGCCTGGAAAATCAAGCTGCTGTAACATTATGGATTTATTTGGGCTCTTATATAAAACAGCTTACTTCCCGAGCACGTGACGAGGATTTAACCCACCTGAATCTTGTCCTTGACCACCACTGTGCTAACTGCAGCAACGTTAACAGCAGCAATCCAATTCAAATCCTCTCTAATCCAGTAATAATTCCAATTATGTCAACTATTTTGCCCTATTGTTCCTTTCTTGAGACGACCACCAGCTTGTTTCACATCAAATCATTGCCTGCTTCTTCCCCATCCAGCCACACCCCACTCCTTTGTTTAAGTCCTTGTAAAAAAAAGAAAAAAAAAACACCCACATCCACACAGACATGTAAAGACAAATGGACAGATGAGTCTTTCTTACCGATTTTCCTCTCAGCAGGGAGCTAAGGTCCTGTGATAAAGAGTGCAGAGAGAGACGCGGCGGAAAGATGGAGAGCAAAGCTGAGACAATCTGCTGGTGTGTGTAAGTGTGTGTGTGTGTGTGTGTGTGTTAGTGAGGCTTCCTGTATCCAGGGTGAGGGATATAAGAAGGAGAGAGGGGAGAGAGAGAGAGAAACTGAAAGCTTGGTCAGCCCTTCCTCCGAGCATTAATATTAATGTTCTGACGAGAGATGACGAGGACAGCTGTTTGCTGTAAAATATGTCAGATTGTTATTTATAATATATGTTTTATGTCATTAAAATGCTTTTATCTTAGTTCACAGTGAATTACAAAGCAGTGTAGCATTACACTGACTGTTCAACATGTTGGGGAGTTTCTCATCCTAATGAGACATTAATACTGGCTTTAATTTGATTTTAAACCCAAGTTATAAACAACTTAAGATACACACACATTTTGAAGGTATTAATAGAACTAATATGGAGACAATCCATAAAATAAAGCAAAAAAAGCTGAATGAACCCAAAGGGGTTTTATTTAYGCACTTTTAAATTAACCTAAGAGCACAAATATGAAAAACTTAATAATCATATATTTTATGAAAATCTTACAATGTTCAAWAAAGACGCTTGTTACAGTAGAGTTTATAGCAGTAGACAGTTGGAAGTATCTATTATTGTAAAATGTGCATGCAGGCAAAATAAAACTTCCATACAAATCCATACAAAACATGAAATATGGTTCAACAAGATTACTTTTTTATGGAATATAACACACAAGTACTCCACAGCATAAATATGACACATATTTTAATATGACAAAACCAGTGAGCTCACTCAGAATGGACAATAAATGCAACTTTTGACATTCTATTATTGTGTGAATGCTGAGTCAGCGTTTACATTATTTATTTTTTCCTGTCTTTCTGTTTTTGTTATCTAACTACTTCTGCATACTAGACATTCATATATCATTCAAGTCATTCATCATGTGACTTTTTGTTTTTGCAACTTTTATACTTAAAAAATTACTGATAGTTTTTTCTAGAAATACATGAATGTCACTTCTTTCAAAAATGTTCTTATTAGCAGCCATTCTGCTGCTTTTGGCTTTTTAGCCTTTTGCTATTTTTAGTTTTTAGCTACTTTTTGCTTTAAGCCATTTTTAGCTACTTTTAGCTCTCAGCCATCTATTTAGCTGCTTTTTGCTTTTAGTTAGCCTTTTGCTACTTTTCTTTTATATTTAGCCTTTTGTTACTCTTATTAAAAGACATGCTTTTAGTTTTAAATAGTATTTAGCTTTTAGCCAGACTTTTGCCAGTTACAAAGTCTGCGCTTTTAATTTTAGCAACTTAGTTTCAGCTTCTTTATCAATATTTTCAGCATTTGGTGTTAATTTTTAGCAAAAAATGCAGTTTCTCTGGCTGGCTTTGGTGTTTTTATGTTTACCGCAGGCACAAATATTTCAGAAGACAATCTGTAAAGGAAAGTTATGCAG